TGAAAACAAATGATTACTTTACCAGTTTTAACTTGGTTGCCGTTTAAAATGACTATATATTTGTTGCACATGGTAAATTATGGTTTGTCTCAAATAAACGCTGGGCGTTACATTGGACATTTTACGGTACAATATCATGTGGCCCTTGGCCACATCCGCGTTGGGCAGCACTGAATCACAGTACATTCTTTATAAGAAAAAAAATCGTATTATTTTTATAATGACTTTTTTCTTATAGATAGCTCAGACCATTTCGGGGATCAACACATTGTATATGTTGTCACATATTGACCCGTAACTCATTTCAATCGCAGCCTTTCAAAACAATCAAGGCCGCTCGCAACTTATGGTGAACAAGAAAAAGGAATTTTACAACGGTATTATGCCTGCATCGAAGGACGGATGCAACACGCCTTTACGAAGTACAGTATATGAGAAGATAATCGTAGATGAAAAATAAGTACTAAGATCAGCAAGAAATCTATGAACTGAAAAGAACTCACCAGCGACTATAATGACAGCATACTCGGCCCCCACTGCGGCTTCAGGGTTCGCCTCAGTCAAGAACTGCTTCATAAAATGCAACACAACCGAAGCTCCGGTGAACATTCGCAGCGTGATCGCAGCTACGCAAAAAACAATGGGCTTCAAGTAGTGCCAGTCGAGAATGTCCTTCACCGATTCCCGATTCTTTTTGCTCTCCTCCACGTGACTCCAAATCTCGTTCACCTCGCTCACAACATCATAGTTCTCTCCTCGCAAAAACCGCAGGGCCTTCTCAGCCTCGATCCTCCGTTTTTTCATTATGAGCCAAATCGGGGACTCAGGCAAAAAGTAGTAAACAGGGCAGATGAACAAAGGAAACACGGCACACACGATAACCACTGCTCTCCAAGACACCAGTAAGGACATGACTGCCACCACGAAAGTGCCCAGGGGCAGGAAGATCTTCGTCATCGAGGTTTGGGTGCCTCTGACGGACTGATGCGCAGCTTCGGCTGCGTACAGTTGACCCACTGCGATCCGGACACCCATCAGCAAGCCTTGCAAAAATCTCGAAGCAACGATGGCTTCTGGGTTCGGGGGGTACGCGAGAACGAACCAGAGAATGCAAACCGGCGGAAGAAGCACCGCGTGAACCCGTTTGCGACCCAAGAAGGATGTGATCACTCCTGCCATCAGAGCACCGAAGCCTTGCCCCAGCATCATTAAACTTGCTACAGGAATACCGTACCAATATCGAGGTTAAGAAGCGGTTCGACTCGAGCTTGCGGAAAAATTAATAAAGATAGCTTACTTCCAACTCATCATCTCCTGAACTAGCTCCAAATCACAACGAAATCATACACAGAAGTGATACTTGCATTTTTTAAATGAATTATCTAGCGGTTGGATATTATACGAAATAAGCGTCTCAAAAAAAAAAAAAATCCAATAGCGTGCTAACTGCCATTGCTGCAGGGAGCAAAAAACTTGTTTCCGGAGTAAATCTAATCATTAGTTTTTGAACATATATTTTTCATGCCTCAAACAGCAAAGGAGATGAAAAATAATTTGAGCCCGCGTCGATGAACATTTCAGCCATTTAAAACCAACAGAGATATTCCCCGAATATTTCTCATCTGACGTAACAAGGCCTCTATTCCGAAGCTGTTTTCCGTCTTTTCTTAATTATTCAAGGATTTTAATTCACAATAAAAGTACAAAACCTAATGATCCATTAGTTTTTCATTTCCTGAAATGCTGGGTGAGCTAATGATATAATAATAGCTAATAATGCTGGTTGAGCTAATTCACCGAAGGTGAATAGTTGAATAACAGGTCTATAAAAATGGGAAATACGAAATATCTTTTCTCACGGGATCACAGACTGTCTCGACTGAATATCAGGAAAGTTAACATAAATACTCTCGTACAGTGATGTATAAGTGCATAAAAGAAGAAAAAAATGAGGCAAATACCAATCAACGATTTCTGAGATCCATTCACTCGGAAGGAGAGCAACGGATCCGCCTCCATCGCAGGAACGATTATGGCTGAATAAGCAATCACTGAACCTTCCATCATGCCTTGAATAATGGAAACAGCACACACCAAAAACTGAAAAGGGACAACACAGCCTGAAAATTGCAACGAATTAACGAAATTTGCCAGATATGCTCATGAACTCTACAAAATCATACGTCTGCGCATTTAACTTCACATACAACCCCACAAATACGAAGGATGTGCATTGGGCATAGCAAAAGGTTGTACTGTACATCCCTTTTGTCAGGGGTTCCAGGACGGGGAAAAAAGATTTTGATCAAAGATCAGCTCGACACCGACACCGAAGCTTTTTAATGCCCACTTCAACATTAGCAACCAAACTTAGATCCAATGAATTCAACTACAGTATCACAATATTGCTGAAAAAGGAGTTTCATGAAGCAATATCCAAGTTTCTGAGACGGAATTCTCCCCAATAAAAGTAAAAATCATAAAACTTCGGATAATTCGCTTGTCTCTACTTCCATTTAAGTTTTGTTCTTGGCAATTGATTGCTCACAAATTGGTAAACTTTCCTTGGGACGGATTCAATATTATTCTATGGAAATTACGCACATCTTCGATGTCTGAAAATGAAAGATATGCTAATATTTTTTTTATCCAACCCTCGCACGTAGAATGTTGAAAAATTCTCATAAGCTTCAGACTCATGCGAGCTATATTCTCAGCGAGCTCTTGCAAAAAAAGTCTCAACAAACCTGCGGAAAATAGCTGATGGGCCCTACACCCGCTTCATCTTCCTCAGACTCACTAAATTCATAAGCCTGCAAACTCTTGAGGTCGTCAACATCCATAGCTTCGGTTCTCTCGGGGCTAAGAACTATTAAATCTCCAAAACGGAATTCACCAACAACGGCATCGCCGGTATCATGAGGCGAATGAAGGTTACTCCGGGCGAAGTAAGGAAAGAAGCCGCATGGATTTTTCTCAACACGAAAACCAATCTCCAACAGCGCGAGACAAATTCGAGAAGTCTAGAATTTAATATAATACGGACTGCGGTCCATTTCCAAATAAATATTTCCAGGAAACAGGATACTTGAAGTTGACCTTGCCGTTATCAGAGCTTATCCAGTGCTCGAGATCATTCGCCACCGAGGCGATTTCCAGAGCTTCCGGGACATTATCTCCTTCTGCACAGAAAGTCGTCAGCAGCAAAATAGGAATCTCCTTCGCATTTGCAAATCTAAAAAACATAAGGCACAGACAAAAAGGAGTAATATGAAGTATTTCGGCAAAGAATAGTCCAACTTATTTCGGAAAACTCAACAATGACAAAGACTGGACGAGGGAAAACTTGAGAAAGATGGAAATCGAGGGATAAAAACATTTAATTAAAAATAATCACATGTGACTGCAAAACGAACAAGCATTTGAGTCAACGAATTAGATTTTCAATCCGCACGACGTAAAATTATTTTTCTTGAAAATGTAACACGAAAGATACTTGCGTGCTTTATTATAAACAAAGAAATAAAGCCGAACGACGATTTTCTCAACTTCGGTCAGAATGCAAAACCATGAAATTTGGCTCGTGAATCAATATTATGAGCAAATTTAAGCTCGTAAATTTCACTTGAAATGTGTTCTTCCCTGCTGAATTCTTGCACTTTTCGAGCTGCTGCCTTCTTTTAGGTCACGTTCTCAATTTTGGCCAAGCAGAATTGATTCTACGCATGTCTTACCCCAATCTATGGAAAAGGGAACACTCACAATTCTTCCAATAGCGATTTTGTGAATCCACTTCCAGGTAAACTGAGCGCACCGAGTTTTTCATGGCCATCCAGAAGTGCAATGAGCTTCTTTGCTCTATAAAAAAAGGTCGTTCAGATCAATTAATATCGTCGGATGAATCAACACGAAAAAACTCACCTTACGAACTCGCCATGGAAATTGTCTGCAACATCATTACACAGGTATCTTAGGGGCGACGATTGCACAACATGCTTTTCGTACGCATAGCAGCTCGCGAGGATGAGGATTTGCTTCGGACACAGTACCAGAACCCAGTTTGCGAAAAATTTCAGGAAATCAATTCGCTTTTTCTGTGAAATAAAATATTGTGCGAATATTGTACAATATTACGGCGTGCGATGTATAAGTTACTACTGCATCTAATCATCTTGAAAATAAGATAAAAAATACATTTATAATGCTGAATCATTAATTCATTTTTAGGATAAGAGAGCAACATTTTCATCAGTACCGCTTATGACATCCACGGATGATTTTCAGTTTTTTCATGCATCTACTGCACAACAAAATTTAAAGGGTCTTATAGATATATCGGAAACCAAAAAATGCTTGACATAATTATTCCGCATTCAATTTAAAATTTGAATACTGTATTAAAATTCCGGAAACATGTCTACATCATAAGCCTGGTCCTTTAAAAAGTGAATCCATGGACCAAAATTCAACAGAATGTCGCCTAAAATATTTTTTACCGAAAGCACAGGAGCTCTGATCTGCACGAATAAGGTCCTCGTCGCTTCAGCAGCAAACACTGCGTTTCAACAACAACAAAAAATTCAAGAATTTCACATATGTTATCAAGCGGAATTCAATTGAAATTTCACCTTCGCAGCTCATCGTAACTTCCCCTTCTCGACCCGAAGAACTTGGTCCCACCAACGGCATTACGGCAGAGTGCAGAAAACATCCAACTTTCACTGCTTCCAACGACGATAAAAACACATCCACCGCCAACTGAGGCACATTTCCAACCGATACTGCCGGCTGAAAATCAATGAATTTTAAAAACGTAAATTTAATTTAACTTGAAAATAAACTTACTATCACAACTGTCCAATTTCGATATGTTGAGATGAACTTCGTCGTATCTCCATCAACCGGATAAAACATGATTCCACCAATAATCTTGAAGGATATTGAGAAATCAATTTTGATTTTTTTTTGTGGGAAAGGTGCAATAATCGTAACACATGAGACAAGGAACGAAACAATCATTTATTTCAACGTTTGCAAATGTACGCATGAATCTCACGTAAGGTTTGCACAAGTACAGGTAACTTGAAAATGATTTTCCGAGGACTGGAATGATTCAAAATATTTTCCCGCAGAATCTCACTTACTGAGGTCATTTTAGGAATCTCGGGGTACATTTTCGGCGTTTATAAGTTTGATGGATACACAGTGATGCAAAAAACGTTGCCGTGGAATCAACAAAAAGAGGGATTTCGACTCCCACGATTATGTTTTCAGCTCATGCTCTCGACATCACCTCGAAATGGGACATATTACAGAGGCGAGCGTTGAAAAATCATCCCTCATGAAAATCGCATTCATGTGCAATCCTACCTCCCAAAAATAAAACCCAAAATCACAACCGGTGAGGTTTTACATGATACAGTAGTAAAATATCCATCTCTGAATTAGAAACACGTCCGGAAGTCTCCATTGTCACATGGTAGCATTCGAATTTCGGAAAAAGAATATCCGATCAACGAAAAGCTTTGCTCAGCGGTGAAAATTATGCTAGAGGATCACGGAGATTATGAAAAATATGTTCTGTTCACAGATTGCTTCTCATTGACACATAGCATCATCAGATCTTTCGGTGAAGTCGACGATTTATTCATCGCTGCCCGCCGCTCATGAAAAGGAAACTTTTCCAAAATTTCAATCAATTTTGCATCCCAACTTCGCCAATGACATGTTTTTCCGCAGACGAGTCACTTCTTGGAACGCAGCTTCATCTGAATCAACAGGTATAAATAGACGGATTAATCAGAAAAATTAACAGGCAGAGAAGTCGAATTCAACACTTTTCAATAAAGACCAGCAATGAGTTGTACTAAAATTATCATTACAGCATTTTCATACTGTACTGTATATCCCAGCATGCGCAGTCAGTAAATTGGGATTTTTATCACAGGTGGACTCTCTACAACGTTGAATTCAAGGGACCGAAAAAAAATTGGTCGTTAAGAGCCCTCGTTACATGACGAGAGGACTCCTTGCGACTAAAAAAAAAAATCTATATAAAGAGCAAGTCGGTGTATACGAGATTCTCGCAGAGAAGCCACCTGGATGTTGGGTTCACACAGAGGTATATACAATACTGCACTTTATTCAATTTTTCGAGTTTTTTCGCCTCAGCATACCGGAGAGCAACGTTAGAATGTGCGCAAGGAACCTCGATTCCCAATTTTTTTTTTTTTGTTGGCAAAAGGTATTCATCATTTTCCACGCATGTAGAACAGATCATCGGAATCACATGCATTAAACCAAAATGGGACGGCCCTAAGAGCTCACCTGAAGCTTTGACAAGTCCGGTTTGAATGTACTTCAAGTAGTTCAAGAAATCGCAAACGGCCGTGATCTGGCAAAGTAGTTCAAAATGAAGAATGAATGATAAATAGAAAAAAAAATTATAAGAATCCAGCGCACCCTGTTCCTGCACAGCTCGGAAATCGGTACACCGGCATCACTGTCGCACAATCTCAAAAGGTAATCGCATTTTCGCTTGGTTTCCAACAGCGGACATTCCCTGAGAATGAAAAAAGAAAGAAAAAACAAAGAGAAAAAATCGTAATCACGTTTGCCCGGGAATAAATATTTTTCAAAATATGGCACAAACCGTTTCCCTTCTCCAGTTTCCGTGCGACACTCGATGATGACAGCGTTCGCACGCATGGCTTCGCGAACCTGGGAAGTCAGCGAAATGTTTGGAAACGCCAAACACGGATTTATTTCCTGTTCTAAAACCGCCTTCAAAAAGCTCGGCAATTGATTCCCATCGTTGTCTCCCATCAACTGGGAAACTACGGGCGATGATTCCGGCTCTTTGCACACATTCCACCATTGCTTGAACGCTTGCAAAAGCAGTGGATCACACTACGAAACATTTTTAATTCATCAATATAACTTCAGAATTCAAAGCTACCACTTGAAAAAAATTTCTTCGGCTGAACACTACAGTACCCTTAACGCCACTTGTTGAAATGAACAAGTAGATGTGGAAATTAAGGTGTAAAATCGATTACAAATTTTTCTGATCTCAGTAACTTCTCACAAACGCATTTTGGAATTATGAGATTGAAAAAAAGAGGGCTTTGCTGAACACTGCAATTTCTGAGGATAGATGAATAGTATATGTATGTACACGGTACAATAATATGTTGGTAAAAAAAGGGCGTAGGTGTTCGATATGCGGAAATAACTGCGTTACTGATTCTAATTTTATGAAGAAAAAAAAATCGTCCGGGAAAATCCTCACAAAAGCGACATCATCGTCATCTTCGTCCACGCCATTCCAGACGTCAGAAACGGAATTCTCATCACACCGGAACAGGTCACCAGACTGAGACCGACACACAGACCGTCGTTTCCCTCGACCTCTTTTACAATCGTGATCACAACATAGATTCGAGAGTCCAGATTCTCCGGCTAGCTGCAGAATCGTTCCGTGCGGTACTGATCCTTGCGAAGCACATTTCTGATGACCGCGTTTACTGTTGCGGAAAAGCTTGCTCGGCGAAGAGAAGCCTAAAAATAAATCGAGTGGCTATAATGGGGAGAACCGATATTAAGAAAAAAAAATCTGCGAACAAATACGGGAAAATTCGATTACATAAAAAGAGACAACGCAAAAAACAAACCTGAGTTGCAGTGAGAAGGGCTGAGGTTAGGATTAGATGGCGTGGAAGTCAAAACCAATGTTTTTAGGGCTGTAACTTCAGCTTGAAGACCTTCGATTTGAAGCCGGGCTTCTTTGAGCGATTTCTCGGAAAGAAATTTGTCCATAGCTGCGTCGTTCACCATCTTATTAGCTTGCTATTAAGAAAAAAATTGAAACTTTTTAATCAAGAAAACAACAGATTAAAGTAAATTAGAATACGAGTGAAAAAGTAAAAGAAAATGTAAAACATTTCAACAGAAAATCCCCCAGAATGTCTTCAAGGAAAGACGGAAAAAGGAATGAAGACTTCAAATTTTACCTCAAACAGTGAGGCAGTCAGGTCCTGGACTTCAGATTCCATTCGAGTTCTGTTGTTTCTCAGTTGGGCTAGTTCTTCGGCTTGCTTCTCAAGCACTAGCTTAGCTTGCATTAACTCTTCCTCTGGCTTTTCATTCAGGACACTAGTGCCAAGAGATTCATTCACGCCGTTCAGTGATCCCATGCCTCTGTCCGGGATTTCGGCCATAGCTTGCGGAAGGAAATAATAAATAAGATTCGTGCGAAAAAAAACATCCCACCAAAAAACGAATGAACATACCTGTTCTCCTTAGTGCTCACAGGTACGAAATAGACAGCTTCGATTTATCACGCATAAAATTTATAGGAACCATGTCTTCTGGTTTGGGACATCACGTGGTAAAACTTTGATAAGTTCACATTTGATCTGAAACAATCAATAGAAAAACTGTAAAAAGGTTATACTGTATGCGATGCCAACGGGAATGAGAAAAACAAAACCATGTTCCCATCAAAATAAAAACTTCAGAAAACGTGTCTAAGCATGATTTCCAGCTAATTTAGGAACGCAAAGTAAAAGCTCTAAAAAAGGCTAACCTCAAATTAGATAATTGAAATTAATTTCTTACTGATTCAATTTTTCAACAGCTCACGTGAGAGTACGGCCGGCTCTCTTGAAGGAATTCCAGTTACAATAGTTACGAGCAATTCAGAGTTCACCTCATCAAGAAAAAAATCCAAAAAGTGAAAAAATTGCATTTGAGAGATTGTTCGGAGTAAATGAATTCCTTGCGTCATGCGGAAATAAAAGCTCACGCGTTTTCTTCTTTATCGGGTAGATCCAATGTCCTATTTTGAGGGAAACGTAGCTGAGGAATGAAATGGATCCATTCGAAAAACATCACCATCTTCGTTGAAAACACTAATAATTTTCGATCGACGGAATGAACGTGGAAATCTGAACCTTTCAAACAAAACACAGGCCTGAATCAAAATATTCTTAAATCTTGCACGAGTTCATCTGCTTTAAAAGAGAAGGCATTTCAAAGCTCACCGAGGCACGAATATCTGGGAAAATTTTCTGAACTGTAATTTTGCTACGGATACAAATTGAATAGTACGTAGAGTCACATGATGTAAAATTCGCATTTCAACAAAGGATAACCACAATTGTCAAATAAAAAGAAGACGCGACGACATTTAGAATTAACCATTCGTCCGTCTATTTTTCACCTGAAAATTGCTAAGAATTCCTCACGAAGTGTCGCGAAAAGCAAAAAAATAAAATTCGACTCGTGAATTCAAACATAAATCAACTTCAGGTTTCCACTTTCACTTCGTTACGTCACAAACACGAACACATCAACAAAAAATGTATGCAAAACTATTTCTTCTTCATTGCCCCAAAGGCGGAAATGACGGTACCCTTGGTACCGGACATGGCGGTCGTCAGAAGTGGGGGTGGCAAAATGGCCGCCTGAGCTGGATTCGTCCCCACCTGGTCCCACTTGCTTCGTTTTCGTTCCTCGGCTACGCCAGGAACAGACGCGGGTGCTGTCGCTGTCGAAGTCGACGTCAGCTTCTTGGCTGTACCGGCTATCACTTCCACTTTCGTCCGCTGTCGTTCCTTTTCCCGCCTCTCCATATCTGCCTTCTGAGCTTTTCCCAACTCATCGTAGTAAGATTCGCTGCCCCAACGGGTTGGGTCGTAAAGTTCCTGAAAACACAGCCATTGTTCAGTAATGAAGTGGTATTAAGGCAAAAAACATTTTCAAGAGATATTTTCGTCGCTTCTTTAAACAAGCAGCCAACTCAATTTCACATAATTTAGTATTTTTTCCAGGAAGCCTGAAGATTTGTGTGAATCCTTCACACAACAGGCAATGAATGTTGTTTTTTCGATTCGAACTAAACCGATAGAAACTTTGTATTTCTATTATTTAAAGACACAAGCCTTCTTAAATTGCCACCGTCGAAATGGGCCACACATAATCTGGGCGAGCCTTGATTCATACAAATGGAACGATTTGACTGAATAAGTGCTTTCGGGAAATACTTCCCCGAAGTTCGAAACCAACGAAATTTAAAGGTGAAAATTCTATGAACTTCGGTCTGGTCCTTTTGGTACTGAATTATACAGTACTGTATTCAGGCAGGAAGGGGGGTGGTATGGAAACTTGTGATGAAATATCTATAAGCATTTATTGACAACAATATCGCTGGATTACTTCAGGCATTTTCTTTTTCTGTGACATAACGCCTCTCGCCCCGGACTCGGTGATTTTCTTTCTCACTTCAGTAGTATTTCGTGACATTAGTTCCGTTTCATTTGGCCGAGAAGTGGCGATTGAATTTGGACTGGGTCAGGAAAATTTAGTTCGTCTATTTAGCGCATGGATTTTCCATTATTGGTAGTAAGTTCAACACTAGTCGAACGCGAAGTTTTCTTGGTGCTATTATTACCACAGAGGCATCCATAGGGTGGACGGCCCAACACTGCAGTTGATGGGACTTGAATATTTGTTGAAAAAACAAACTAACATGAAATTCAGTTCGCTTATTCGAAAGAAAAACCCATGCGTCTTCGATTTCGAAGCATAAAATCGAATCTCAGATCTTCGAAATTCAACATAGGATGTTTTGAGAGAAATTTCACTTCAAATACCGAGAGAAACGGAATTTATTGGGATGATACTGATGGGCCAAGACAACCTCATTTGATCAATCTCATATTTTTACCTGAAAGTTCAGAGGAAGTCTTTTTGAAAACGGAAGTAAGAGGTTTTATATCTGATTTAAGAAAAAATTTAGTTTTAATGGGTCAAACAAAACCACGGTTTAATTGGCAAAAATTGCAACTGTGTATTAAGTAGGAAAAAGCATTGACAAGAAGCAAAAGATTATTCATCATGCATCTTAAATTCTTTAAATTCATTTATCTTCCCATTATTTCTTTCAAACTCTTAATTTGGTGTAAGTATAGTATTTGCTAAAATCTGCTGGTCACTAATGGTACCTTTCAAGCTTTTTTTTGGTAATATTCTCCTGTTCGTTCAAACAAATATTTTGTATATCATTAATTTAATCGAACATCAAGGGTTAAATATGATTTTAAAATGTATGACTGAAAATGGTAAGGAACACTGCTAGGTTATGTAGGAGTGTGAGCAGGCGTGACTCTTAAATAGGAAATTTAAGGAGATTTTTGCTCTAAAAATTAAATAAAACTTGATGTCTTTTGAACAGTAACCTTTTGGGTCTCGAATGTTTATGGGCTTTGAGAATCTTTTAAGAAAACGAAATTTTCTCAGCTTCTACGATGCAAGCAACAGGATTGCAGAATCTTTTTGAAAATATGGAAAGAGTGATAAATTTTTCATGGATCTCGAGATGCTTTCTCAAATACAGTAAAGTAAACCCATCAAAAATTCTGTTCATAATTCAATGCTCTTGGAATGCATCCTGCAGTAATGATGGTGAAAGGTTACTTCGGAGTTCAAGAAGAAATTAATGTGGGCTTCGTTGCTCTTCCTTGCATATAAAGTATCAAAAACAAATGTTCAATCACAATGCGACTTCAAATGACATGTTGCTTAAAACCTTGAACAAATTCGAGACAATACTGAATATGTAAAATTAGTTTGGTTCACTGTTCTGGGCTGAATGCTGTAACCAGACAGGGGAAAATTTAGCCGCTTTCTGGAAAATAATGCATTTATTCAAAACTCGCCATTTAAGCATACAGGATTTTTCTAGTGGAGGATTGTTTCCTGGGACAGAAGGACAGAAAACATTGGAGCAAACCAGCATCTATACATAAGTTGTTGACAAATTGATGAAAATGTCCCTCCAAGCTACAGTACTGTGCAAGAACTCTCTTGAAACATTCGGAACAGGCTTGAGAATTGAAAAAAATTGAAAAAGCGCCAAAAGAAATGAAATTATTTCTTTTATTGTGCTAGATTTTAAATGATAACACGTGTTTCCCAAGACCTGCAAATATTTTCCACACACATGCTGCTGCACCTACGTTGTGTAGAATTTTGAAAAAAAAAAAAAGTACAGAATATGTCAGTAATTCAAGATAGGTAATTCCAGTTTCTATAAACCTGAAAGGTGGAACACTAATGACATATCCTCAATAAATCGGTAGTCTTTAGAAAGCATTAAACCTTATTCAGTGATTCACGTAACACGATTGTGACTCGTTAAAAAGCCATGTAGGATCATACAACGGAAAAAACAGACTTCCCGAAGGACTGAAAATGAAAGTATCGACACTATGGGAATAACCCTCAATGCGCATGCCAATAACACGCAGCCTGAGCATGAAGTTCATGTCGGTGCGAAGTCACGTCATCGTGATACTATATAAAACGCAAAAAAAGAAGAAACAGAAACGCATTCTTTTACCATGTACGAAATACGATAGATTCGAGGAATGGACTTGGTTATACCAATACTTCATGGTGGTCGGGTAATTAGGAATGAGGAAGTCGTTAAATACTCACAAAAAACCTCTGCTTATGACTTCGACGATGGCAAGATTAATAACTACAATATTAGATTTTAAGTATCTTCGCAGGAATTAGGTGAAAGGATCGCGGATCGAACCACTGCTTAAACGAGCTTGCATACGACCTTCCAATGATCAACACGAAACTCTCTTGAAAAGTGCCACAAAATCTTCGACAGCGCAGCACAATAATAATTTCTCTTTCTCTAAACGTAATAAATTACTCACCGGAGGGAAGTTTGTACCGAATTCTTCAAGCTGACAATAACTGATGAGCTTCTCGTACAATGATGGATTCCTAAAATCCTTCCTCTGTAAAATGCTGGCATTCGGATCAATACCTCTTCTTTTCTTCTCGAACAAATCCGCGAAAAAGGCTTCTAAATCTTTTGAGCACCTCTGTTTTGGTTCCGGCGGCAGAAATATTCCGTCCACCAACACTTCCTCTTCCACAATTTCCTCGTCTTCACGGGATTCTTCCATTTTCATGCGTTTCTTTTCATTAACTTCCTGCAATTCGTCTTCTTCAAGGCTGATCTGCTCGCGAATATCGTGACGATGCAACTCATCCTCGTCTTCCGATATGTGATCTTCCGGTTTTGAGGAATCCTTGGGTATTGGAGCCGATAATCGCTCAACGATTCCTTCTTTTGCAGAAAATTCGGTGTCCATGAGGTCTGCGGTCTCATTAAGCTCATTATTTGTTATATCCATGTAAGGTACTAAGGCAGATGATTTAATACCTGAAAAAAAACGGAAAATCCTTCAGTTGTTCAATGACATCACCGTGTTAACGACAAACATTTAAATAAGCCCAAAAACTATTTTCAGGAATTTTTTAACATGTACCACACAAAAATATGCCCAGTCAAGATAAAAAATATATACTTCGAATGTGGAGCTCGGGTAAAATCTTTGCGGAATAAATAAGAAGTTAAGAACGGAAATACCGTGTAAGTGATACAATTTTAACCTTTCAAACCATTTAAACCGGGATAAAAGGTTTTCTACAGGACTTCAAAAAAGGGACGATTTCAAATATTTTATAGAAAATTATGGGTAATGTAGAAAAGATACTTCCAACTTCTCAAGTGGAATGGTATGTCACGCACACGATAAATTTTTTCTATAGGCTCACGGTGTAACATTATGAAGCTTTTTTCACATGGATGAATACCCTAAAAAAGTAACGAATAATTTTGTATAGCAGTACTGTATCAAGCATCTGGAAATTGTCGTCTGCCTGCACGGGCCAAATTTTCGGAGGACTTACGGTAATTCCCGATCCTGTCCTCAGGTTTCAAGTACAGTTGGACCTAGGTAGCTTGAACCTCCCTCTCCTGAATATTTTTAGATTATCTCTGAATTGCCTTGAGAAGAATACATAATAATCATCTCTAACTCATCAAAGCCTAAAACCTCTATAAATCAAAATTTGAGAGTCCCCCGGGGCATTATTCTGGGCACTCATAATCTTATCAGCAGTTAAAGACCCAAAACATCAAAAATTTCAGTTTCCTGCGATTTTTTCCGTTTATAACCAGCAAAAAAATAGCTGTTTCCGGAACTAAGAACCTTCCCAAGCCGAATTTTTAGCTGGTCCCCCTTCAATTTGGAGTTCAAGAGGTTTAACCAGGGTTAATTTTCACGGAAATAATCAGTTCATAAAGGGAATGCACACTTTGAAAGAAAATGAGACCCACCTGGTTCTATAGGAGTTGCTGCGCCACTGACGCTGCCATGGACAGAAGCCGGAGTTGATTGCCTCGAAACTGGCTGCGAGAAAATTTCAACCTTCGAAGATCTTCCATCCCTGGTTTCATCATCAGAATGAACATCATCATCTTCTTCCGAGTCAGTATAAACTGACGTCAACGCATTCAAAGCCATCTAGTATTCGCGAAGTCTTATGAAGAGAACTCGATTTCCTGGTTCGCGATAAGAAAAAAACAACAGTTTAAACACGAGAAGTCTTTAATATTGAAAAAGAAAGAACATTTTCAATCCACATTTCAGAGATTTGAATATAATACGTGGAATTATCATTTCGAATTATTTTTCGCTCACATTTTTTAAAGCAGAACGTCCGTAAAAATATCTGAGTAATTTTAGACGAAGCAAGTTCACTTACTTTCTCAAAATGCGGATTGAGAACGTCAGGAAACATGAACGAGAAACGCAAGTGAAATATGAATTTCTTTTAATATCATCCTCATTCCCCAACGATAAATTTTGACTAAATCCCAGATGACACGTCACACGTAACTGACGTCCACTGGAGAAAATATGACTCACTCAAAAATATGAATCTTTCGCTGGCTTTCGAAAAAAATCGCATTAAACCATATCAAGTAGATCTCACAAAAACTGTCCAGATTAAAAAAAAAAAAACTCCCGGATCGCTTCTATCTACGAGAATACCTGAGGAAATTTCTCGTATGGTACACACGCAGCGATCGTCTCCAGATGATCCACCGTTTTTCTTGCCTCGAAGAGTAAAAATACAAATTTACAGATATCCACGTGGCTCTTGCAAGAAGTTTTTTCCGAAGTCTGCTGATTTTTCAGAATTTGCTGCACAACAGAGGGAAAAATGTGTCAGAATGCTGCACTTGCCGTTGCACGAATCATTCGTGCAAGAAACGAAACATTCATGACGCAAAATTCCGAAAACATTATTGCACATTAGATATGAAGTTACATTTAAAATGTACTAGGCTCAAAAGAGCCTTCAAGGCAACGAAGCTGTACGGGGATGAAACTTATTCAATCATCATGGCGAACAACTTAGGATCCACACGCTTCAAGAGAAAAAGTGCCGATCAAAACAGCTGAAGACTTGCAAAAAATAAAAATCATCCTGAATTTCCACATCCGAAATTTTCACCCATTTACACTCATGGCAGCAGTCATCGAATTTCCTCTCAATCATACCTTCTTCGCGGCTTTCGCACTATTGATCCATGATGTGAAAAATTAGCTCCAGAGTGATTGATGGAGCATTCTGCGACGAAGCTGCAGTTCTGTGAATGATGGGAATGAGCTCGGAATCCATATCGTTCATGACCGACGGCGGAAGTCGCATGCGTTGACCACCCACTTCGTAACAAACCTAAAAATTACATTTCCTCGCGCATTAGTCGGATAAACACCACAAACGAAAACATTTCAACGAATTATATCAGATGGTAACTACAGAAAAATTTCCAAGCCATCTACGTAAACAGATGACATTTCCTGAAATATATAGCTTAACATGTGCATGAAATTTCTCGCATGGCTCATAGAATATTTCTGGAACAGCTCTGATTCCTGCTTTCAACGCGTAAAAGTTAAGATAATGGCAGTGAACAAAATAGGAGTCCAAAAAGTCACAATTCAGTGATCAGTAGGATCGATGTGTCCCCAATCTTGAGTAAAACGCACGCAGAAGTGCATTACAATTCGTAATATACAGTATACACAAAAAAGTTTCAAGAAATTTTGCAACTAGACAGCGCCACGCAAAACGAAAGATCTTCCACTTGGTCATTCACATATCCACATACCACCTGAAACCTCATCAACTAGAGCACTCTACTCGAACAACGAACACGAGGCAAACAGAAAAAAAATGGTGATGTCTGATTTCAAATATTTACAGAAACAATTCACACTTGCAATTAAAACAATTGAAAATTTTTCAGTTTTGGCTGAGCGATTATCTCTAGTTACCTCTACGGATTTTTTGAAAACCCTTTCGCCTATGCATCCATGACGGAGAAGACTAATTCTAAAATTTTCCCAACGCCTGAGGCAGAAAAAAAGCGATATGCTCACGACTGATCCGTTCTTCAGCCTCGGTGATGTACTGTGGTAAGAAAAGGATACCCAGCCCTTGTGCAGTATTTATAGAATCAATGGAAGTATTCCATTTTCGGAAAAGGTCCCATCCTACTCGCTGAAATCTAAGCAGATCCTGAAAACTATTAACATATTTTTATGACCTGAACATGAGCTCTGCTGGATATTGTGAGATTTGTGATCTGAACAGATCGTTCGACCACAAAAACTCGACAGAAATATCATCCGTCTGCAGATTCACTTCCTTCGAGAGTACAGGAACGGGGATTCAACTTAGCTGACTAGAAACTTACATTTTCCACATCAATCGTCGCACGCAATCCAATTCTTGAAAACCCGGATCTCTTCAACACATCCAGATGAGGGATAAGAGCGAAACACGTGGCACGACTGATGCCTTCTGCCATTCGACTGATGTTCAACGGCTCGGACCATGGACCATCGCCTTCATCCACCCGCAACAAGAACAATTCTGTCCATCGCACAAGCCGGGTCTCACCGAGGTAATCTGTTCCAGACGGAATTCTAACAGATTTCACGCCTTCGAACGAAAGGCCGTCAATGGGACTGACAACACTGAAAAGCAAAATATTTCATTTTCATCAGCGTGATCTAAAAAAAAGAGGAGAAGACGAACTACGCTCGCATTTGCAGCTCTCCACCCGCAATCATTTCTGAATAGATGCCACTAGAAGAAGTCTCGTCCTCTCTAATCGAACACTCAACGAGTCTACGTCCTTTTCCATGATTATTCAACTCACTCAAGTGTCGCAAAAATTTTTGCATTCCGTTGGATCTGATTTATGTAAAGATGTGCCAAGTAGTTTGTGTCAGGTTAGGTAATTTGGGAATGGTTTCGTTATTTTTGTCAGGGGTTTGACTCGGATGATACTTCCTCGACTCATCATAAAGCGACTGAAAAATTGAAAATTTCGATTGAAGTGGATAATAACTTTGAAAGAATATGAATACAGGTGAAATCTGTCAACAGAGAAATTCAAGGGAACAGAAAAAATTCGGTACTTTCCTGGTATCTCAGTACCTCATTCCTAGACCACACTACCATCCAGACAAATCTTTAGGACGAGTTCATAATCACGACAACCTACCAGAAACTGTGAATTTTATTTTTCCGCATTCTGCTGATCACCGAGGTAATCTGTTCCAGACGGAATTCTAACAGATTTCACGCCTTCGAACGAAAGGCCGTCAATGGGACTGACAACACTGAAAAGCAAAATATTTCATTTTCATCAGCGTGATCTAAAAAAAAAGAGGAGAAAAAGAACTACGCTCGCATTTGCAGCTCTCCATCCGCAATCATTTCTGAATAGATGCCACTAGAAGAAGTCTCGTCCTCTCCAATCGAACACTCAACGAGTCTACGTCCTTTTCCATGATTATTTAACTCACTTAAGTGTCGCAAACATTTTTGCATTCCGTTGGATCTGATTTATGTAAAGATGTGCCAAGTAGTTGGTGTCAGGTTAGGTAATTTGGGAATGGTTTCGTTATTTTTGTCAGGATTTTGACTCGGATGATACTTCCTCGACTCATCATAAAGCGACTGAAAAATTGAAAATTTCGATTGAAGTGGATAATAACTTTGAAAGAATATGAATACAGGTGAACTCTGTCTACAGAGAAATTCAAGGGAACAGAAAAAATTCGGTACTTTCCTGGTATCTCAGTACCTCATTCCTAGACAAAACTACCATCCAGACAAATCTTTAGGACGAGTTCATAATCACGACAACCTACCAGAAACTGAATTTTATTTTTCTGCATTCTGCTGAAACTGATTTTGGGAGGCGGTTAGGTAAAGTTAGGTCAGGTTATTTTAGTTACAAATATCTTTTAACTAACATAACCTGACCTAACCTAACTTAAAGTTAGGTCAGGTTATGTTAGTTACAAATATCTTTTAACTAACATAACCTGACCTAACCTAACTTTGCCTAACAGCCTCCCAAAATCAGTTTCAGCAGAAACCCAAAAAAAGCAGAAACTGATTTTGGGAGGTGGTTAGGTGAAGTTAGGTTAGGTCAGGTTAAATTGGTCAAAGGGAAGGTACAGAGATAACAGGAATGAGGTACTGAGATAACAGGAAAGTACCAAAAATTCAATGAATGAAGAGTTTTGTTCAAGAGATTCTAGAGAACCTCTATAAAATGGGTAGAGACCCATACGGGTCCACAAAATCGTTGTACACAAGATCTTTGTTGAGAGAGTCTACCTGTACATAATTTACACGCCGTAACCCTTCCGACACGCAACCGATCAAGGTTAACCAAAAACACGATGAAAAGTAGAAGATACTTCACAGATCTTATGTTACAGCGTAAGACGATAGGCAGCAAATGAGCCAATCGATGGTGGATTTTCTCGACAATTCCAAGAACATACGGTATCTCCTCAACTTACCCCATATTCACGGCCTTGTCGTCAGATCCCCATTGGATCACTACGAGTTCATCGGGGTCTGCATCGGCCAGAGGCCCACAACCAACTTCGAAATCGTTCATTTCTCGCAAGGCACTCGCTTCGTCTGAGTAACAAAGGCCCCCTTAGTCTTAGTAATCTGGTAGGAGGTGCTAGCTTCAAAAGCGTGAGTCTGGCGAGCTGCGAAAATCCCTAGGTAACTTGTGGTCCTTTGAACGAGGGCACTCTGGTTACAAAGAACAACATAACTTTCAATACTTAAATGTTTCGCAAAGGCGGATATACCAGCTTTTAGTGTACACGCCGCGGATAATAAAATCGTTAGATCACTGCTTTCGCAAAGCTCAAATAAAGTTCAAAGAATTCTTGAATCGCAAGAACCAACAAGCACCCATTCCGACATACAGTATTTTCGAGAGAGAAATACAAAAGGAAAACGTCCAACCTTTTCTCGGCATGTTCTGAATATTGATGGCTTGAGTTTGATAATTTCCGTCGTCGTTTTGAATACACACCAAGTGTGAGTCTGCATCAACCGAAAAATTACCGGCAAATGCAAGTACGTGTTCGTCACTATCACGTATCACCTTCATCACCAGATCATACCTACAGGGAGAAAAACAAAATTACTTTCAGAAACAAAATTAAAAGCCAGGGAAAATCGTCAGTAGCCTGAGCGATATACGAATAAATCATTAATCTTCTCATTGTGCAACAGTATCTCTGTATCGGAGAACCTGGTTAATTACGCCCAAACGCTTGATTGGTCATCGGAGTTGAAGCCTAGATTCAAATATTTGCTATAGCATTATTTCTATCTCATCTATATAGAAATAAAATATCCGGAGTCTCACCTGTTCCTTGGAATTCGCACAGACGTCTGCTTCTCTTCCATATGAATGACAAGTCCGGGGACAGTTTGAACGGTGAATTTATAATTCCGGAAATCCGCCAAAAGTTTGATCATTGTGTGGCCGAGTTCGCAAAATAAAGACTTCCGATTTCGCACGGAGAACAGCGGGCATGGGTAGTACCGGAATTCCGCACCCAATCGCAGGGCAAGTCTCAGTGGTAAAATTTTCGCCCACGGCAATTCCCACTTTTGGAGCAAAAGTCCAACAACGTAAGGAGTTCCAGGAGGAGGCAGAAGAAGGTTTTTTAAACACTGGAGAGTCGGTTTGATGTAAAGAAAACCTCCGTGATCCGTGGAGCCCAAGAACGTTAACCTGGAAACGGAAGATTATTCAAATTTCTCGCGCACTGTACTTCTATAAATAGAAAAAATTTACATCTGCTCCCAGGAATTCTGATTCGCAAGACACCACATTTTTCGGAAAATGAGATAAAATTCACAAAAAACAGATGTACATAATCCTCAAAATTGCAGTTCAGATACTGTAACGGTAAATTTTTAACGAGTTGACGAACTTTCAGATCACTCCCGACTCCCGAGTAACATATGTTGAAGAATTTGGAAAATACGTTGACGAGGCTCGTAGAATATTGAAAAACTAGTACATCGAAGTTCGGCGATATACTGAATCTCCAATAACTTTGCCGAGCAATTATTTAGACTAGTTCAAGTAAAATCTGACCATATACAGTTCTAAATTGAAGGCGACCGAAGAACGTTTACTCAAGTTGGACAGAACGGGATTGAGGATTTTCATTAAATGAAGGTTAAACAAAATACAAACCGACATATTTCTACAACTTGAGCTGATTTAATTAAAGATAGCTCCCTCACATCCCTGATACCGAGTAGCATAGTAGATGAGTTTTCTCCAAATTAACGAACAGAGGTCTTCTTTTTTGGCATTTCAAGCTGGTCTACTCTGGTCTACGGATACTCGACATGAACTCACTTTTGTCCATGATTTGCTCCTTGGTTCAGCAAGGTATGCCCTAAAGCCATCACAAAATGTCCCTTGGAACTGCGTTCATATATTTCGAGGAAATGGTGGAAAATATCTTTTGGAATGTCGTCTTCTTCGGGCAATCGTTCAAGTAAGACCATAATTTCGTCTTGCGCTGCTGCTTGCATACCACTAGTAAGGAAGCACCAGCACTCACGAGACACACAGCATGAGACTAAAATGTAAAAGCAGCAATGAAGCTCAGAAAAAAAACCTAATCTCTCGATTCTACTCACGGTTGACGATTTTTACGTGAACGTGGAGATTTTTCGTCAGGGCGAACGTTACTGGTCCTCTGCTTCGATCTAGAAGCAGCAAAACCAAACCATGGGCTCAGAGTGACACGAAGAATCGGCATATATTCAAATAGAAAATTTTGGAAAATAATCTCACCAGTCAACAGATTAATAAGCTCTGATTTATCCGAACAATGTTCCAATTTCAAATCTGAAAATAAAAATTGCTTGACGTACAATACAAATAATAATCACTTGATCAGACTTACCTCCCTGTTCATCGTACGAAACCAAAGGAGGTAATGGAAGAGCACCACGCACAAAAGTAATGGCGGCACTAAGAAGACCCGGAAGTTTTGGTTTCGCTGTAGCTCCTTCGGCTGCGCCTTTGAAGGCAAAAATTGGGGTTTATTCAATAAATAAGTCGAACAGAACTACATACGGAAGAAAATGAGTAGAAAAATCCACGAATAAAGGTGACAACCTACACTCCTACAGGGAGATGTCCCCTAATATTTCCAAATACAGTATATAAAAACTGCTCCGAAATGTTCGAATGCTGAATGAATCCCATAAAATTCAACTGCACAAAAACAGATGCAAATCACGAAGGACGGGGTTCAAATATTTCGAAAAGCTTGATTCCAAAGAAAAGTAGACTGAATAAAAAAAATTTTTAAAAAACCGTGCCGAAGACGGGAGAGATACTACACTCTTCAATTTTCTCAGGAAATTTTTCCAGCACCTCAGATGCAAGAATGAATCATCTCGGAAACACAAGAGGCATTTTGTTGTTTCTTTCTTACATTTTTGTTTGGTTTAAATTATTTTCACCGCTTTTCAGAAAATGCCGCAGCTTTGGCACTCACTTTTTGCTTTTCTCTGTCCATTTGCAGCAGCATTCGCTGCCTTTCTTTGATTTCTATGATGAGCAACACTTCGCGGATTGCTTGCTCTTGCTCCATCCGGCTCATCAGTCAGTTCAGTTAGATCTCCACCTGGTCTGATGCCATCGCTAAACATCACTTGCTTTGGCTCACGACTCGACGAGGAGACACTTCCTTCCCGCTTCAACACACCCACGGGAACCATCACTGTAGGTGGTGCAGCGTTTTGCTCAGCCTGCTGCCACGGTGGAACAGTGGAGCAGTATTCAGCAGGATTGTTCGGATTTGGAGGCCATCGACCAGCATCATTTTGGTGCGACGGACTTAGCACTGGCGAACCTGAGTCCGTGGATTCATCTGTCGTTGAATTCTCGACACTGTTTCCAGGCCCATCTGCGTAAAAAGTTGATGGATTACCACCGGCATATTCGACATTTTTAGGGATACATGAGGTGTTTCGTAATAACTGCATTATTCTTTGCTAAGCTTAATTGAACTGTTTTCAAACTCTAGCACATTCGTGAGAACGCACAAACGTTGCACTGGGTAAAACTTATTTGGTTGGCTTAGCATACTTCGAAATTACAAGGCTACGACGAAAACGCAAATACATTCCTGCATCATACAAAATGTAATTCGTAGAAGGGCATCACACAATCTCTCAACTGAATAGAACAAACCGATTGATGATCGTAAACCGCGCTCTAAATTTTCCAAAAAATCCAAATGAAGAAAAATCTTGAGAAATAAACTTTGTAAGGCTCGCAACTAACGTAAATTTTTGATTCGGAAAGATTAACTCGATCATGGCTTTATTAAGGTGTCTTAAAGTTTTCTTGATTGGAAGGACCTCTTAGAGGGCCGTTCCTTCTGTTTGTGCTCGTTGAAACAAGACGTACATGGCTTCTCCGCGGAAAGGTGTTGTTGTAATGGCGCAGAGAACTTTTCCACACGCACGACAGTGATGCCGTCTCTTGAACGTGGTAAATCTCAGGTCACAGTTCATACACGTGTCAGCATCCGTATCGGGAACCCAGAACGGAGGAATATCTCCCAGCTTTAACAATGATGATAACGATGATGAAGATGAATCCTCCGATGTAGAATGCACAGATTCTGTAGTAGCTGTGAAGATTTCACACAGAATATCGCAGAAATCACATGATTTCATCATCGACTTCACCGGAGAATTTCACCGTCAACTTACTCTGTTCCACCGCATTCAGGACAACTTCTCCCACAGCCACAGGAGAGCAGCTAAGGACTGTTGACTGACCTTTACGACCTCCAAGTAAGCTTGTTTCGTGTTCTAGATATGCACACGATTCTAGAAGGAGCTTTCAAAGTAGTTGGTGCAAGAGTAGGTATCAGCTATCTTAAGGGACGACATTTTCAGGCTCTTCAGAATGGCTCAATTGTAATGACTCCAAGCCGACCAACAATTCAATTTGCTCTCCACAACTTGCGGCTTCAGGAACAGGTTCAACATGCGCTTGTTCAGGCACGGATTTCATACTGGTCATGGCCACGTCAGGAATACTTGCGAATACACTTGCAAGCGCAGCAGCTTCGTCTACTTCCTCTCTGCCTAATGTTGGCGGTTCGAGGTTCAGATCCAACAACGCTGATGATTCGAACACGGATTCGGTACTCTGATCATCACGAGAAAGTAAATCAGGCTTGGTGGTTTTCTCCGGTAACGTAATATCGGGAAGAATCGGTGCAGGAAGTACGGACTGAATGCCATCCGGCTCCAACACAAGTTCCTGCGTTCCT